GAATTATAGCCTATTATTTCCCTTAATTCTTGCCTGCTGAGAGTGAGGTAGATTTTTCTCTTGGTAGAAATGTTGAAGAACATTTTTGATTGTTTTGCACCTGGGGTTTCATTCATTCGGTGTGTGGTCACGGCTTTCTTCATCCATTTGTTCAGTTTCGCTTTTATTATGTTTTTGGGGCCAATTTACGTTTGTGGTCTAAAGGGATGAGGATTTCTCTTGCTTTTGCCGATTTATTAGCATTTTCCCGGAGAGATATATCAGAAATTCCCAGTCCAGATTCAAGATGAAGGTGGAAGATACTAATGCCTTACTACTGCTCTGTGACATAATATGTATATCCGAGCACCTTTTAACCCCTTATAAGCATTGCAAAAAGTTCTATTGCATGGATCTCAGCCTGGGAAATTAATGTGTGGAGCCTAGAGTTTCGCTAGGCAAAAAGTAGGCCTTTCATTCCTGCCCTTCTCCATGTTCCATTTTAGATCCATCTTTATGTCTTAAAAAAGGCCTCTTAGCCTCAGGGATTTTATTTTTCCAAACGTCTCTTGTTATTTTTATTTGGAAGGATCTGTCAAAATTTCATTTTGTCAGATATTTTAGTAGAAGTATTTGATTGTAAAAAAGTTAGATCTATAAAATCAGTCATTTTATAATTGTAAGAATATTATCTTTATTTAGATTTTAACAACGAACTCTTGATCTAAAACAATTTTGAACGATATTTGGAACAGCTGTGAAAAACCCAAAAACTATTGCCGATTTTCCAACAACTAGAATAACTTCCCGTTCAAAGATGTAAACTTTTGTTGGAAAGAAATCGGTTGAATTTTTCTTTAAACCATAATGGGACCCAGAAAATTCCTACTGACACTAAGTTTGGCCTAGTGTATCAACAAGTGATGAAAAAGATCCAAAAGAAGATACATCCTACTATTTTTTTACTAAGAATTTAAATATTTTTTACAAGGATAGTTGCTAATCACAGTAAGTTGTTTTGCAACGATCCGGATTTCGAGCCTTTTAGCTCATCATCAGGTTGAAGGACTTCTATAACCTGGTGATGAGCTAAAAGGCTCGAAATCCGGATCGTTGCGAAACAACTTACTGTGAGTAGGAACTATCCTTTTAAAAAGTATTGAACACCACACTCACTCCATCATTTATCATTTCTAAGAATTTAAATGGTGTGAAAAATCAGGACTATAAAATGAATCTTTTTATCAGTTGTGCAATACTTATTTTCTTACTATGGTGAATTCGTCCATTTTCGCGGTTTCAACTTAAAACTAATAATTCGCTTTTCAAACAGGTTTCTATTTTTTGTACTTTCTTATGATTTATAATAGTTGAGCGTGAAACTAAGGGTTATTTTATTATATTTTCTTTACTTTCGGTTCTCTGGATTGTACGCTCGATATTTTTACCCCGGTTACACTGTTAAAGTAATGATAGAAATTAGCGTTAGAGAGAAAAGGGCCAGGAATTGTCAATAAACTTTTAAAAAAGAGGTACCCTGGGAATGCACACAGTGCAAAATCACCTTAAAGCTAACAACTAATTAGTTAACCCTTGTTGTGTGTAGACCACTAACAAACAGACCTACTAACAAAAAAGGAGACTTCAGTTTCATGGGTCCATAACTGTTCCGCGTTTTATGGAAAACCTACTCAATCGTGTGGATGGAACCACAGTTACTCGAACAAAGACCTTAAAAAATGCCAATAATGTACTAACATTATTAATCGTTCTCAGTAAGTTTATTTATGAATTTCTTTCTTAACGCCAGGAAGATTTATTTTTTAAAAGATTGTTGAATTATGAAAAGTTTAATTGTATTAAGTACAAAGCTAAATTAATATTATTTATCAAACAACCCAGCTGCTTTTTGGTTAGATTATGTAGGAATCCGCCACCATGGACTAATTCTTATGGAGGAAATGGCCAATTCTATTAAACATCGTACTCGACTTGGCTAACTAAATGAAGCTATCAAGGAAAAGCGGCCTGCATTAGTAAACGGAGTCGTTTTCCTGCATGACAACGCGAAGTCTCATATTTCGCTGGTGACGCGTCAAAAATTGTTTCACTTGGGATGGATGTACATTATAACACACATAAAACAATGCCTTATTATTAATACGAGTCAGACAAAAATTATTTTAGTTTATTATGATTTATTTTAAATAGGTTTTCCTATATAAACCGTTACCTGCACATTGCAAGACGGTTTTTCTCAAAACTTTACATTGAGAAGGTACAATTTTATTTGCTGCATAAAAAAATTAAATGTGTTATTCAGTTTGTTTTGCTTCGTGTATGTTGTCCATAAAACAAATAACAAAACAGAAAGTACTCACAAAAATACAGAGAGTCGCATGTGTTCGTATAAATGGAGCGATGCGATGACTCCCAGCTGGTTAGTTATTGGGACTAATTCCCCTCCACCATATGGAGGATTAAAATTTATTACGATAGATATGATTTTTTAAATTTATTTGTAGCCTGTAACATATTTATACATATTACAAATGTCATCGCAGTACTTTTTTCACATGGTCACAGCACTAACACTAATGACAACGCTGCATCCGGAGGGAACATGCATTGAGAAGCCAGTACTAGCTCAATGTGATGGATTAAGGGGCAAGGAGGTCGTCGATTAAGGCTTGGAGAGGGTTAAGGCAGTAGGATTAGGATGGATCGAGAGGTTGGTGTGAAACTTTTGGAATCGGGAACTGATCCAGTCCGTTGACAAAAGGAATATTGAGGGAGGTCCCACCATGTGATAATGAGGACAGCACAGAAAGCCAATTTAACGTTATTAAAGAGAAACTTCCTACAGGGCTAAACTTAAATGGAGAGATATTAACAGCCTAATGAAGGAACATCCGACATTCATGCATTCAAGGTATGACCATGATGAGTATCGAAAAAGAATGGAAAAAAGAAACCCCTCGGTTGAGAACTGCACCTGGAACCAAATACGCAGAACCCACAATTACAGAATGGATTAAAGGGAAAAAACGAGAAAAAACTAACAGGTTTCTTAAAAGGACACTGCAGGCTAAATTTGAATGTGCAGAGTCTGCAAGGAAGCAGAGGAGATTCCAACGCACCTAGTACCAAACCATTGTGTGTGCTTGTATTGTGAACCTATGCTCAACATCCTTCTGGTTTGTGTTAATGCAAATGCTAACCAAATCAAAATAAACTTTGCATTGGAGCATAACTGCATAAAATGATTGGTTTGCGCGGAATTATGAAATATTTTAAAATATTTACCAGTTTTGAGAAAACGTTCATCACGGATTAATCGCCGATCACATGGACATCAATAATAAAAACATTACCATAATAACTTTATGATGAATGCAATAATCAAATAAACCGGTGATCACGTTTGCGTATAAAAATCTTTACAACATATTTACATTGTATCGGAGTATATTTCCATACAGATCGTCCAACTGTGTTTGCAATGCAATTTTTAATGGGAAAAGTTAGCAGTGATTAAACGGTTGATATTATAGTACAAAACCAAACGAAAAGTTAGACCATTAACTGAATGTCCGGCGGAAAAATGATAAATAAAAGAAGTTGACATTTTTTCTGGGGATTTTCTTCTGCCCTCTTTGCCGGGTAAGCCCGTTTCCGATATATCGGATTGTTTTTCGTTAGAGAAATTAACACTTTGTTTTAAAAAGGTCAAAAAGTAAGATTAAAAGAGATGTTATAAAAAAAAGTGTTATTGTTTAACATTTAAAACATTGTTGTTGATATTGTGTAACAATTAAAAGTCGATTAAGGTTTTTTTAATGTAGAGGAAAGTTCTCTTGGTTCATACACAACAAGTATAATTGGACTACAGACTTTATGTGTTTATAGTAAATGCCATAGTTGGAACAATTAAGTTGAACACAACGCACTGGGTACCTGTGTGCCATTTTCCTTCTTTCATTAAACACCACGCTGAAATGTGAAACTATCCTTCGTATTGAAATTTCAAAGTTTTGTTCGTAAATTAGAAAAGAAGGATATCCGCAACGGGCGGAGTGCGTTGAGGTGGTAGAATCAAATTGAAACTGACGATACAAACCCTCGACCGGCATCACGTTTCAAGGCGATCATACAAAATAAAAAAGGGGTCACATTCTAAAACACAAAGAAACTAAAAAAGAAAAAGGTTATTTAAAATTTACGCTTTTGGTGAATATTTTTTATACGTACTGAGTAATGGATACATTTCGATTAAGCGATCTTTTCGATAAGGATTAATATTTTTTCAAATTATTTTTCTATTATACCAACATTATTTATCTGTCGGTCTCTTACTTCTCTCTCTCTCTCTCTCTCACTCTCTCTCTCTCTCTCTCTCTCTCTCTCTCTCTCTCTTTCTCTTTCTCTTTCTCTCTATTTTTCTGGCTCGAACCCTCACCATACAGTAGATATTTCTGGTATAGAATTGACGGATGTTTAATCATGGTCACTGTGAATAAAATTCTTAATTTTGATTATGATTGGACTCATAATGGTAATAAAAAAATTACACAGCTTGGACATAGACTCAAACACAAACCCACACACACAAATATATCTACAGCAAAAAAAACATATACATATATAAAGTGGGAAGTTTATAAGTTTATGGGACTACAAAAATTTTTCTAGTTTTATCTAGTTTGTAGCTTGAGTAGCTTGTTACAAAACAATTAGCTCAAAAATTAGAAGACGCCATTAACTTAGCTGGACCGCTGGCTTTCTAATCTGCTGTATACACAAGGTTTATTAACTTTGACCAAGGTTGTGACCCGGTCTAATCCTCCCCCCTCTTCGGTGCTCGGGAAAACAAAAAATTGATAATTAATGTTCAATGTTCATAATAATCTTATGTTTCATGTTAAAACTTAACTAAAATCACTCAAAAAACCACTACGTAGAATTTAAGCATCTCTTCCCTAAAGAATGATACAAATTTGTAAAAAATATTTTTTTTACAGATGGTCGAGCAGCCGGTTGAGCCATGGCCTAGTGGCTCGAGCATTCTGCTGGCAGCATGGTCGATCTCGGTGGCTACGTTATCATTATATGCGAGACCAAGGACAAGAAAATCAAATTATACGGTAAGCCTTTACATAAAATAAATTTTCATTAAAGGGGTAAAGACAGTGATTTAAAAAGGGAAAAAGAAGTGAAATAGTGTACATGATATGACTGAATGGTATAGCTAGCTAAAACTGATTAGCAACTCTCGGCAGGAGTCTAAAGAAACGAACCATCAAATTAATATATGCCATGTAATATTTATGCAACGTTTTTGCCCAAATATCTGCAGAAATGCATCAGGAATTTGTGTAAAAGTGTCTTACCGCTACTTAAGAACGTATTTTGAGAGCTACTCCTTTCTCCAGTTGCCGCCAATTGATGGTATCGAAAACTTTTGACTAATCTGTATTCATTTTTGCATATATTTGTACCTTTTAATGTTATGTAAAAAAAAAAGATTAGTCCTCGCGTAAAATCTTTAACAATTTTAATCCGAATATAAAACATACAGTACTTAACTTCCGATTTAAAATAAGTACTGATAGCAATTGTACACAACGATAGGCGTGTTGAGCGGAAGGTCATGGGTCCGAATCCCGCTCGTAACACTAACTTTTTCATCTCAACTTCTTACCTTAGATAAAAAGAATAAAGATGGTTGCTTTGAGTCGGTCATCCATTTGTTGTCTGACTAAATAAAGTTTGTATCTGAAAAATACCCAGCTTTATCCCGCAAAAGGTGCCCCACGAGCATGACAGCGCAACGCCACACATATCATGTGAGGCCACCTCAAAAATGAATGAAATGGAATTCAATCTTCCTCGTCCAGCGTACAGCACCGACCTCGCTCCTTCTGATTACCTCTTATTCCAGTCCATGCCACACTTTATTCTTCACCTAACATTCAAGACTGAAGAGTTAAAAGCTGGTTGTGTATCATTTTCTGTTTCCAAAGGTCCATAGTTCCTTCTTAGAGAGATTTCACGGAACTGACAATGTTTCACGATAAAATTTTTTTAGGCCATAAAATTTTCAAAAATAATTGTTGATAGTATTTGCTGACTTGTAAATATGAAAACTAAACACGCTCACACTTATGTTAATTCCCAATTAAATAGTAAAACGTTTGTTAACAATTAGTCTTTTGACGTTGTTTTTTTTTCTCTCAAAATAATCTCATAAGAAATATGTGATGACATATAGTAGTATTAACATAAAAACCAGAAAAATATAGAATAAATAAGAACATAGTTGACCTACATACACACGCTGTATCCTACATAGGAAAAAATACGTACATACGTACTCATTTAAGAAAAAACTATAAAAATAGGCTCTTATCTTAATAAAGTTTACAATGCAAGTTAAAACAAATATAAATAAACAGAAAACGTCGACATTTTACAGAAATGACTTACACGAGTTAATCTGAGATGTGGCGACAAGTAGATAAGATAAACAGGCGGAAAACTCAAATACTGGAACAAGGAACATACTAAGTCATATAAAGAAAACCACGGACTGATCCAATTAAGCAACTAAGAGAGAATTTTGTATTTAATCCTGATAAAAGTAAATTCAAAATTAATCATTAATTTTCAAGGAACCGATTTCGTAATTATTACTCATTGACCTTCCAAATTATGAACTTGTCAGTTGTATGGTGACAATGACGAATTGTCTACTATTGTAGTTAAAAATTTGTATTTGGTCGTATCGAATCATTTTAGCCTTTTGATGCATTCGGCATCTTCATTTGGTCTGTCTGAAGGAAAAACAAATCTGAAAGAAAACGATTGCAGGATGTTCAGAGGCTACTTATCTGATCTTATTACCCCGCAATTACTACCCCGCAGACTACAAGAAATATTGCAAACTATACCTTTCATCAGAGTACATATGTCGTTTGTCGACTGTGAAAAGCATGCTAACCGACCTGAATAAGAAAAGTAAACAAGCAGGAATAACAATGCGCGAAACTAAGACGATAGTAATGAGCTAATGATGAACGGAATTTAAAAAAGAAAATAGTATAAGAGTAGTACGATAATCGGGAAATAATTAAAATAGGTTGAAGAATTTCATTATTCAGGCGGAAATTTTGAAACCTAGCCTTAATAAAAAACGAAAACAACAAGAAAAGCATTGAACATCTGTGTCATACCAACTTTAACTAAGGCGTACAAACTTGGTCACTAACAAAAAAAAATCAAAGAAAGAGATTAGGCGGAGCAAAATGGACATCTATCTGTTGACATACAATAAAACCACTAAATTGTACTTTTTATCAATTATCAACAGTTACGTTCAAATCTTTAAAAAGAAGGTTAATAAGCATTTAATTAAAATGTTTATCAATGTTACATTTCTGCACTGTATAAAATAAATTCAAGCTGATTTAATAAGCATAAGAATGAAACTGATGAACGTTTGATTTACAAGGAGCATATGTGGATTAAAATAATTAATTTCTTTTCGGTTTTTTTGTTAAACTAAAACTTAACTTATAATTTACACGTGATTTTACATTCCAAATCCTAAAAAAAAATCAAAACTGTTTTGTTAAAAATACTTGCTTTACTTCCAAAATGGAATGTGTGTGTAGTTGATCGGGAAGTCTGTAAAATACTGAAGGTCTGGTGCGCAAAAGCTTGTATTCATTATAATATCGCCCATGAAAGTAGGTTCTTTGCCTTCGTAGAATAACGAACCCCAGAAGGAGGATTTCAAAATATCAGCGTGACGTTGTATCCCTTTGAACTTGCCTTCGACTCTAGCTTCCGCTATGATTGCGACACGGTCTGTCGCAGAATGGATAAGATCCGCCATGGGACTATCGCCGAAGTAAACAGAAATCGGCCTTCTTCCGAGTGTGTCGGTCAACGCTTTTTCTATCATGTGGTAGCTCCCAGAGACGTATTCCCCTCGAAGATCGAATCTCGTCTCTTCCGCGCTCAGCCATCTCCCCGTTTGGGATATAGCCCGGAATCGGCTTTGGGAAATGAAAAACCTAGGTTTCTTTGTATTGAAGACGGCGAAATCGAAAAGGTTTTTCCAGTCCGGACCCAGGACGATCGTCGCAGTCCTGTTTGCAGCTTCAGGAGGAGAAGATGTTATCAATGCCGTGCAGCCTATGTTGTGCAGTTGCTTGAGCCAGTCTATAACTGCACTGCTCGTCGGGTGAACCAATTCTTTTTTTCTGTCCAGATTCCAGATCCCGCTTTCGTTGTACAACGATACCAAGGCGTTGATAACATCGTGCCACACTTGGTTGATAGAGGTTTTGGGTTTCTTATCAACGGCCTTTGCGTATACCAACGACAGGACCAGATCTGAAAAATCCATCGCGCTAAATACTTTCGAAGCGGACTGCCTTCTATCCTCACCGAGCTTTTTAGCAATCATGGTTGACACCGACTCTAAATTATTTTCCGTCCCGTATATTTTGCAAATTTCATTTTTAGTCAAGAGCCTGGTACCGTGGCTCGCTCTTAGAATCGCCCCATTACTGGAGGTTTTCAGCAAGTTGCCGTTTTGTGTGTCTATGAAGAGGCCTCTAGACAAAAAGTTTTTATCCTTGAATGACAACGGCTGCTTAAATCCACGATATTGTTTTTCCTTGTCCAAATAATCCGTCATGAAATCGAAACTGCTCGTGACGATTTTTTTAAGATTATATTGACAAATCGTGTGATCCAAGTCAAAGCCGAAGAAATCGTACTCGTCCAATTTGATTCCAGCCGGCCTGTTCATATTGTCATTTAACTGAACTTGACTCGAACCAATTACATACCTTGAGAAGTTATGAAATAAAATTTTGCATTTGTTTCTATTGTATCATTTGCTGTTTCATACAGTTATGAAAAGTATTTGATATTAAAGTATTTGATATTAAACAGGTGAAAATATTTTTCTCGCTGATTTTATTCAATTTTTGATAAAATTACAAAAACCATATTTATTAGTCATATTCCGGAATAGTTAGAGTATTACACTAATCTTAAAGTGAAATTGCCTTTGATTTCACTGAAACAATGCTGCGCTTATTTGTAACTAATAACTATAAAGTTGCTATTATACAGGGTGAGTTTAACTTCTGCTCCCTCTTTGTATATTTATATTTTCTTCTTTTTTTATATTAGGGCGTTTTGTAAAAACCTGACACACGTAAACTTTTGTTGTTTGTCTAGTTTCCCAAAAGGCAACACGTTTTGATCTAACTCTCCAGGATAACGGGATATGGACAAGATCTTAACTGATGTATTGGATCTTCTTGAGGTCATTTTACTTAAATGACTAAAGGTAAAATGACCTCAAGAAGATCCAATACATCAGTTTCAACTACGGAGGTCGATCAATGTCAACTAGAAGATCTTAACTATTTCAAATTACCAGATGATCGTCAATGTACGTTTTGTGAAATATTTTTCAACGCAGAATTCAACGGTTTTTAAATTCTAGCAACCTTATTTCGTTTAATAAATTTGTCAGAACTGTATTTAGGATAAACATCTTCTCCAACTTCTTCAACCAACCACCAATTTTTAAAAAATCATTTTAATCGATACTGCTCATGGTTATTTGGTGGTATTCATGGTAAGTTTGAATGTATGGACCGAAATTTGCACCAGGCTGACTCGCGCTTTAATAAGTTACATCAGAGCGTCCTGATAATTGATGTTATTTGAGGAAATTGTTGCGAAATCTTTATTTTGGTTCCATGAGCATTATCAACTAAAATGATTTTAAAAAATTGTTGTTTGATTGAAGAAGTCTGAGATTTCGTTTATCCGAAAAACAGAGCGCGGAAAAAGTTATTTGCAAATAACTTGAGAACGGTAGCTCCAGATTAGAAACTGTTTGCTCCGTTGAAACAACGTCAAAAAAATTACATTGATGAGTATCCATTATATTTAGTGGTCAATTGACCAAATTACTTCTTTCAATTAATTAATCTTTTTATGTAAGGTTTGGGTTGAAAGGGAAAAGTTAGTGTCACAAGCGGGATTCGAACCCATGACCTTCGGCTGGGTTCGAATCCCGCTCGTGACACTAACTTTTCCCTTTCAACCAAAACCTTAAATACAAAGATTAATTAATTGATTGATGAGTATATTGTATTACGGATAATTTTGGGCTTGATGAAAATACGACCTATTGAACGTGGTTTATTTTCTGTACGTAATAAAAGAAATAAAACACAAAAAGTATAATTAATACAAACAAACAATTATATTTAATGAAAACAACCAAAAGAAATAGAACTCAAAAAAGTATAATTAATACAAACAAACAATTATATTTAATGAAAACAACCCCACAACCATACTGACAAAATTTAGATCCGCGAAACAATGCAATATTTGTAGAGAATAATTTACACAAACCTACGGTAACGAACACCGGCGAACACTGAGAAAATCTGCCGAATGACCAGCTGGTGCCAGCCACCTTAATCGCCAGAGCCAACTTAATTATACTTAATTAAAGTTAAAAAATCGTAACATCTCCCCCTACCTGGAGAGGAAGTAAAAGAAAGGAAAGGAAGTTTACTTTCTTTTTCATTAAATATAATTTTACTTTTATATACTATAGATGTAATTTATTTGACTTAGCACCATTGAATTTAGAACGTATATAAAGCAATAAAAAAAGATAGTAAGCATATAATTGATTATTGAAGAAACTAGAATTCTGTGGTTAATGGTTAAGCTATAGGCTATCCAGAGACAACAAAAAAAAAATTGCCCAAAAAATGGCCAATTTTGGAAATGTATATTTTCACAGCCTTTTAAGTCAGACCTGCGTTGGGTCTCATTTTTTAGAAAATTTTACGCTTAACAAGATTTTTTAAAAATGTTTTCCTCGCTTCAGTCATTCATCTGAAAATTCAAAAATTCTGGAACGTGTCAATTTTTGTACTTTTTACTAAAACTTTAAATTGAGCTTTGGAGTCAGAAAATCTTCCTGGAGCGACACCCTTTAGCAATCGATAGGAAATTTTAATAAGCTGTAAATTGGTCACCTTCCACTTTGCCGATTTCTCAACCGTTTTGGGCAAAAAACGTGTTTTTTACGTGCTCATGGAAAAATCGATCGGTCTTTGTCTGTCTCTGTCTGTCTGTCTCTCTGTTTCTCTCTCTCTCTATCTCTCTCTCTCTCTCTCTCTCTCTCTCTCTCTCTCTCTCTCTCTCTTTCTCACACACACACACACACACACACACACACACTCCGTTTTTTCTAGAGAACAGATATTCATTATACATTCTACAAACATGTCCAAATCAGATATCAATCGGCCCTTTTCAGGGCCAAACTTAAGCGGCTGTAATCAGCCCTTGTCATGGTTAAGCCCGACTAAAATTGAAGTAACGGCAACTGTCTTTTTAGGAAATCTTGAAAGAAATTGCGATCGACGAAGATGTACAGGCGTATGATCATAAAGTCATGTTTCCTCAAATTTTACGCTCTACTTCTTTTGTTCTGAGGACTTTTCCAAAAAAAGTGACCAGGGAAGCGACAATTCTCACTTTTTCTATGCATTTCCAAGCATAGTTGATTCCAAAGTTGGCCATTTTTCGTGCCAAAACCAGGTAGTCGGTTTTGTTTGATAGGCAGTGTAGTTTATATCCATGATAGCACAACTTCAACAACAATAGATTCCCTTTAATATGCCTAATATCTGTATTATAATGTCTTAAAAGTAAGCTCTATCTAAGGATTTTTGATTTTTACATTTCATTTTATAAATAAATGCCAGTGTATTGTGATCACTTGGAGTGATAAGTTGGAGTCTCGGAAGAATTTACATAAATTTCGAAGTGTTGTATTGTACAAGATGATAGCTAAACATTCCTTTTTTATAGTAGAATATTTCTTCTGGGTACCAACAAATTTCTTTGCAAAATAACATATTGGGTGATCAATACTACTACTACTACTATCTTCTTGCATTAATACACCTATGTCGCTAGCATCCACAACAAGTTTAAAAGGCTCCCTAAAATCTGGGGACAGCTGTACAGGTGAACTACTTAATATGGATTTTATTGGTTAGAAATTATTGCAATTGTCACTTATAAACTGAATTTTTTTTAACAAACGGGTACTGTTACAGTTGAAAAATTTACCTAAGTAGCTTACAAGTGCACACGCGATTTCATTTTTTCCTAAGTTGATCGTTAGCCGTGCCTCCGTCAGGCGGTCAAAAAGCATTTTAATTGCTTTCAAATGTTCACCCCATTCATAATATGTCGTCGATGTAACTGTCACAGCCCTCAATCTTTTCGATGACAAAGTTCATCAAACGCTGGAAAGTAGTCCTTCATCCCAAACGGCATCACTTTAGATCGTTAAAAACTTCGGTGTAACGATCGCGGATATTTCCATAGCCTTTTCCGTGAGGGGTTATCTGCCACATTCCTTTAAGTAAGTCTATAAGAGTTATGAATTTAGCTTGACCAATTTTGTCAATGCAGTATCTACGCGAGGTATTGGAAAGGAGTCTGAATTGGTTATCTTATTGATTTGACGATTGTCAGAAAAAAAGAAATTAAAGATATTATTTTAATCTATTTTATAGCCGAAAACTTCTCACTTCAGAATCTTTGCAACCTATTAAAAATAGTAACGATGTGCCGGAACGTTGGTCGGTAGTACATATCTTCTTTTTTCTTTTTTTTTTACTTCATTTATTTTTATCTGCAACTGTATATATAACAACCAGAAGATGGATTTCATTTTATGATGGTGGCATTATGGGCGTTATAGGATCCATTGGCAGCTTCAGAAGTTACAGTGTATTCTTATCTGGTAAGCTGGAGTTATCTGTTTTTTTTTAGCAGTTGTTATTATTATTCTTTTAGCATTAGAATTATTAAATTATTCTATTGGTTATTTTTTTTCTATTAATTCTTTTTAAGCAATTATCTAGAATCCAGTGATTATTATAAAGGTTCATAACTATGTCCCCGAACTTATAGACACATATTTAGGAAAAGAAGGAAGAACGGCTATGAAACCTACCCTCAATTCATTTCATATAATTAGTTTAATTAGTGTGTAGATCTTGTGAAGTGGATACTTTCGAAAAATTGCAGAACTTGATTCTCTTCGAGGATTTTGCAGAGGGTTTGCCTAAAGAATGAAATGTGTTTGGATAAAATTCAAGTAAATTCTGTAGCAAAATAGTATTACAAAATAATTCCCTTAATAAAACAAGTCCATGCTTTGGGTTTAATAAATCAAAAAATTTTCGTATTACAGATTATAATATTGAAATCAGTAGTAATGATAATTATTCAGAAATCGTGAGATGCGGTCTGGTGTGATGTAGGTTTCAGAAAAATATTTTCTTTATCGTGCCAACGTTTCGATCTTTATTGAGNTTGGCACGATAAAGAAAATGTTTTTATGAAACCTACATCACACCAGACCGCATCTCACGATTTCTGAATAATTATCGATTAACGGTCACTAATCACCACACAAATAATGATAATCACGATAGCTCAAGTGGAAGAGCAGCAGAGTATTTAGCCGATGGTCGTGGGTTCGAATCCCACTCGTGACACTAACTTTTTCATTTCAACCAATGCCTTACATAAAGATTAATTAATTACTGACTACTAATAATCTGGTACATTAAGAAAAATGATCTAGTGAATTATTCATACACAAAACTTCATGTGACTATTGTGAGAAAATAGGACATAAAATGGCAGATTGCTACGCACTTTTAAGTGTCATTGCACTAGTAGTGCGATAGTAATGCTTTTCAGAAAATCATTTACTAAAACACACATCTATTATACAGGGAGTTAGCTCTAAATTTATTTCTGTCCTTTTTCATGAAATTTACTTACTCGGATTAAACAAAAGGGCGTATTAAAGTTGG